CATTGCAGTTGATCCGGTCTTTTCTGAGTCCAATTTTTGGCCTTGGGTTAGCACTCTGATACATATTTGACACTTGATGGTGGTGCAAAAATACCATCTTTAGATGTGTGGGTAGATAGGTGTGTGTTTGTGCATGGGAGAATAAAGTAATGTAGGTTTGGGGGGGAACTATGGGGGGAAATCTAAGCTGCCGCCCCTTGTTTTCTACATTCTCCATCCCATTGCAAATTCAGTAACAAGAAGTGGGGGGAGAATGCTGTTTTGGTGTGATCTAGGACACCAACTGAAGCATTTGTTTTATTTGCCGTGATTTGAATGAGAAATGCATTGCCTGGTTTTTGCCTTCTGTGAAATTTAAACAAATCCCAGTTGCTATTTCTAAATTCTCACACACACACACACACACACACACACACACACACGCACACACGCACACACACATGCACACGCACGCCTATGCAAATGCTATGCTGGTTCCTGTCCAATCAGCCTAAGCCCCCAAATCTTCTAAATCCCTAGCAACAACCCTGTTAGACATCATGTGGTTTGTTAAAACATCCTGAGCGTTTCCATGTTCCGGCTGGCGTCATGTCTTGTAAAGTTAAAAGTGCCATTTTTATATTTGAAAACCCTTTTTACAGATTAAAATCTGGCACACGGCGTCTTTAGCATCTTTGGGTAGAAAAGCAGCAGAAGACTCTCAGGCATAAACCATGTCAATTATGGCTTAACTGTGTTTGCTTGCATTTATTCCTGGTCTCTCCCTTTCCCTCCCTTGCTATGCTCTGCTATTATCACAGCTCTAACTGTAAGCTCCTAGGGGCAAGGAGCTGGTATTATCCCCGCCATCAACGCCATGATGTTCCTCTGTCATTCCCTGTGTACCATTTCTGACAGAACACCCCCCTGCTTGTGACAATGTTGTCTTCTCGTTCTCAGTGGCCTGGTTTATCCTCCATCAACGTGACAGGTAGATGTGTCTGCGAGGAGACAGATGGCACACCGTGTCTCAAAAGAGCGGCAGATCTGTTACCTGCTTCCAGGCTCCCTACTGCACAGATTAAGCGACGGTCTAGACAACTGGCAGAAGACATTCGCTTCCGGAACGGCCTCTTGCCTGTATTTCTCCTCAATATGCAAAAGTACTCAACAAGCTGCAGGATCTTTCAATAACAACCCCGGCATGTGCCAGAAACATGTTGCAAACAGCCACCGTTAGACAGCAGCCTTTTAGGTTTCATTTTATCCTGGAAAGGGAGAGAAAACAACCGGGTGGACCAATGGAAGGAGGCATGGGTGCCTTTCCTGCAGACAAGATGGGGAACTTTCAGTGGGACAGACACTAGGAGGGAAACCTGGAGATTTCAGTGAAGGAAAAGATCTGATCCCTGTCTCCAAATAAGGACACTGGCAAGCACACAGCAACATCTGGTGCAACGTCCCTTCCTTGCATCTTTCCCCTGGGGCACAAGCAGAGAAGCGACCCTGCGCTCATCTGGATATGTGAGGTCGTCCTTGCTGCAGCCAAAGACTGGTCTGTGGGGTATTGCAGACTCTCCAGAGGAATCTAAATAAAAGATGCCCAAACCATCTGCTATTTCACTGGCTGGTCTCTAATCCTGGAGTGCCCTCTGCTGGGTCAAGCTGGAAAAGCGTTCCGGCGGCTCAAGCCACAAAAAGATGCTCTCGAAGGAGCTCAAAGGCATTATCGACACTAAAGTTATAGCAGTCTGACTTCATTTCAACAGCTATGGCTCCGCTCCACAGAAAACTGGGATTTGTTGTTTGTGTGTATTTTAGAGAATTCTAGGAGTTTGAGTCTTAAAAATGAAACAAGAAAGAAATGATACATCCCTAGTAATTGTAATTGGTGCATTGCCCCATGAAGTCCATGCCCATATAAAGGGACAGAGATTTATGCCTGGAAACTCTCTCTCTCTCTCTCTCTCTCTCACACACACACACACACACACACACACAAACACA